AATTTCCTAACCTGGAGCTGAACCTGCTCTGAAGTCTCTTACCTTATTTCGCTTGTATTTTTCCTCCCTCCCTCCCTCTCCACTGGGTGGAAAGTGAGATATAAATAATTAAATGAACAAACTAAATTGTGTCAAGGAAAATTTCAGGAGTCTGCCATACATCACACCATCCAAGGCAATCCCAGCTTTCCCTGATAATTTGTTTGTACTGATGAATCCCAATTTTCCCTGATAGGCAGAACAGGATACACCTTCCCTTCAAGCAGCTAAAGTATAGCAGCAGGCTCGATAAGAGTGAGAAATGATCTCTCTTCTGTCTTTGAAGCAATGATTCTCTTCTTGGGAAAAAAAGAAATCTTCCTCTGTAAACTCCCAAGTACTGGTGGCCAGTCCCATTTCACACTGCAATTATGTGTGTGAGCTTGAATGTTTTCTCTGATGCTTATTTTTTTAATGTCCCGCTTTCCCCCTTAACCGGGATCCACAGTGGCTCTGACAAATTACCCACCCATATCAAAGCAGCCCCTAAAACCTTCTCCCTCGAATTCTCCTTTTGCAGGGATTGGCTGTGCTTTCTTCGGGGGGAAGACACACCCACACATGGGATCCCCCCATCCACGGAGTGACACAATACAGATGAACAACAGGTATGTCAGGAGCTCCATTGGTTCAGCTCTTAGCCTTGGGGCTACAGACAACCTGTGGGAAACCCAAAATTAGCATCACCACTTGGGACCACTTTGCATTGCTATTTTAAAACCTTTCCAAACCAACTTGCTTTAACCATTCCATGAAATTAAGCAAGACTTCAGAATCTTGATAAATGTACCACTCACAAACATTTCCTGGATTAGACAAGAGACTAATCTGCAGCAGTGATTTTTCAGCACCTGGAAGAACCTTTATAAATGGCCACAGAGAATTCTTTTTTTAAAGCAGGAGTACTGTTCATCAGGGAGATGGCTGTATAATGTTACTAATGCACCAGTGCTGCAATCGAAGCACTCATTTTTTTTTCCAGATGCGCCATTATGAAAATGCTCTGTTTATCATTGTCAATACACTTTCATAAGAATAAACCACTAGAGTGAGCATTTATGAGGCTGGCTTGTCTTAAAGGCTCTTCAGCAGTTTGCAAACTAATAGACTATTCACCTTCATGGATCTGTGGCTGTCAGTTGTGGTTGGAAGGAGTCTGGGGCAGGAGGTGGCAAAGTGCAATGGGAAAGTAAGCAGCTACCATGGCTGTTCCTTGATGAAATGCATGGCATGTTTATAACCCACAAGCAATGCCTTCCATTCCATAAAGTTATTAATGGCACAGATATCAGAAGTCAGAAACTGGCTGTTGGGTATGAATGAAGTCAGTCACCCTATGTTCCAAAACAGGAGCCATGCAAATTCAGTCATTGTTTCTCTGGGGCCTGCATCAAACCTAGGCCCAGGGATCCATGTGTCCTGGGAATCAGGTGATTTCCAGTGGATCTATCTTGTCCCACGACAAAGTTCACAAATCTGCTGCTCTCCCTCACGCTGTGGAACTTGTTTCTGAGGGAAGCCTCACGCTGTGGAACTTGTTTCTGAGGGAAGCCTCACACTGTGGAACTTGTTTCTGAGGGAAGCCTCAAACTGTGGAACTTGTTTCTGAGGGAAGCCTCCGAGTTATCCCATTTGTGTCCCACACTCCCTGGACACCTGACTGGCTTAGATGCTGCCCGCCTGTCCCAGATAATTCCTAGCCCTTGAACCTGAACACCCAACAGAAGGGAACAGAAAACAAAAAAGTAAAATATCTGAAACATGAAAGCTTCCTCATTTCAACTCTCACACACTGGTGATTCTTTAACCATCAATTGTGCATTTATTTATTATTTATTTATTTATTAAATTCAATTTTTATACTGCCCTCCCCTGCAAACAGGGCTCAGGGCAGTGTACAACGATAGATAAAACAACCAATTTGAGGTAAAAACATCAAAATTACAATAAAATTACAGTAATCAACTTAAGTAGATGGTGGTTGAAACTTCTAATTGTGCCACCGCCTTGCGGAGGGCAGGGAAGCGGTAAGAGCACCAGCTGGATGGACGCCATCCTCAACCAGACACCTGATGGAACACCTCTGCCTGGTGGAACATCCCTGCCTCCCCCCCCCATTTGAGTCACCCCCCACTTCCTATTAAAGGACACTTGAGGGAGATATGAATGACTTTTTTTTTCATTTCTTGAACCAAACTCTTTCTCAAAGTTTTGTTCCTGGCATACCATTAGATATGCATCCTGTGGGTTAGTTCAGATCAGGAACATCTTAAAAGCTGCAGCCAGAATTTGGATCTGTGTGTTTAGAAGCCACCATTAAAATGCAGGAGAGATTACAGGGCAGTGAATGTATATCATGTCAAAAAGAGTGCCCTTGTCCTGAAGAAGGCCGTTTCAGCTACTCAGCCAACTAGTAATATCAGATCCATAGTCATAAGCAAGCCAACTCTTCCAAGCTATCTGTTCCTTAAAAACTCCCTCAGGGTTTTTACAATAAATAGGAAACTATTCAGTCTTTCTTGTTGTTCAGTCATAGTCTTTAGGGTGCCTCAAACCCTATCTTCCAAGGTCATGGTCAACAAGATGAAGGGTGTCAAAGAGAAATAGAGTTGTATGTGAGGGAGAGCACATATTCTACCTTCTTCCTCATTGGAACTAACCTGTACATGTTTTAACTAAACTGTTGATGATGGTCAGAAGAGGGGAGAAAGGACTTATTTCTCTGTGTGAGAGAATGGTGATTCCTGTGTGCATGACAGATAGTATATGTATCAGTTTACATGAAAAGAGCATATATGTGATACAGAGAGTACAGGACATACTGTATGTTTATGTATATGTGGAAATGTCTGTGTATAAAAACACACATAAGCAGGTTTCATATATGAAATGTACCAAGATTTTACATATTGAGATGTTTGTATTTTCACTGAAATATAATGTGCAAAACAATTATAATGTGGTACAGTCCTAGAAGGGCAGTACTGCATAACATGGCTAAATGTTGTAAAGAGTATATGAAGAGAAAAAGGTGAACATGCTGGACACTGGGTGGATCCAAAGATGTTCTCCAGCTCACAGAAGAATCTTCCATTGATGGAAGAACTATTCCTATGAATGGAAGGAGGTCATCCATTAATGAAAGACTCCTTCTAATAAGAGGGGTCCATCATGAGTGGAAGGGCAACTATGGATGCAACTCCTAATGTCTTGGATTCCACTAGTCAATGGCTTGAAAAACATTCACCTCCTGCGAAGGGTCAAAGAATGCGTCTAGTATCAGTTACTTTTCTTGGTTTCCATGTTACTCTGTAGCCTTTGCTCTTATATATGTGAAAAAGCTATATGGGACTGCAGTACCTATAATACATATAAAGGTAAAGGTTCCCTTGCTCGAAAGCCAGTCGAATCCGACTCTAGGGTTGCGGTGCTCATCTCCGTTTCAAAGCCGAAGAGCCAGCGCTGTCCGAAGACGTTTCCGTGGTCATGTGGCCGGCATGACTAAACACCTAGGCGCACGGAACGCTGTTACCTTCCCACCGAAGTGGTACCTATTTATCTACTTGCAATTTTTTGCTTTCGAACTGCTAGGTTGGCAGGAGCTGGAACTAGAGACAGGAGCTCACCCCGTCTTGCGGCACCCGGGTCTTGAACTGCTGAACTACGGACCTTCCACAGCCTGCAGTTCAGCGTCTTAACCACTTGAGCCACCGCAGCTCCATAATACATATACGTTTGTATAAATATTTATGAGAAATGTATTTGTTTTCAAAAACAGCAGGCTAGGTAACTATATTCGATGCCAAAACAACAACATCAATTCATTTTTAACCGAGGCTGACCTGCTAATTTTAGCATAGGAAAATGTTCCATTTGCATGCAAATCTGCATTTAATAGCTGATAACAGTGGCTCAGAAGACCAAATGATAAAAAAATAACATTGATTCCATAAAGAATACAAACTGTAACATCTGGGTGCATCTGTCATTCTTAACAGAAGGATGATGCTTGTTTTTGTTAATGTATTCATGTCAGAAAAACAACCAGTTAATCACCTAATTCTTTTAAAACCGAGTCATCTGAATGCATAATGGCAAGGAATACCATGGATAAGAGGACATGATAAATATCTTTGCCCAAGTTTGTCTTCTTTCTTTCTTTCTTTGTATAATACTTTCACCTGCTATAATTGCCAAAGAAGGTTCACAATCTGTATATTATCTTCCACGGCACATAACACGACTAGGTTTGTTTACTTCATATATACCCCACTGTTCCCCCAATGGGGACCCAAAGCAGTTTACATTGTTCCCCTCTCCTCCACTTTATCCTCACAGGTTATGGCTGAGAGTCCGTGACCAGCCCAAGGTCACCCAGCAAACTTGTACGGCAGAGTGGGGATTTGAACTTTGGTGTCCCAGACCCTTGACAAACACTTCGACCACTACACCACACTGGCTTCTTGAATGGGTTTTCCACATACCACAGATCCATATGTAACGAGATCTACAATATGGTCAAAGGAACACATCAGACCATAGAAAGAAAGAACCATGGGAGTGGATTAAAAACTTCCAAATACACTTAAATTCTTTGGACACCCCATGAGACAAGCAGATTTCGAGATGGAAACACATACCAGTTCAACCAGAAACACTATGAGCAACACCCCAGATAATCTCCAGGAACAACTCTGACCATGCTACCAAGTCTGAACTGAGCCATTACCTCCGTCTTGCAAAGGGCATGCCCATTAAAAGACTCCTTATCATTTACCAATAAGAAGCACAGGTGGGGAAAGTTTCAGTGGACCAGTGGACCACTATGGACCAGGCTGACAGGCTGTGATGGTGAAGGACTTTGCAAGGACTTAGCTTTGCCAATGCAGGCATATTCTCTCAGGTTGTCACAAAATATACTTATCCAAACAAAGTCCTCATGTAATATTGCTCCTCCTTACCTTGTCTCACTCTCTTTGGGTATCACAGCTGTTCCATAGCCAAAAGCCTTCTTGTCAGGTGTTGATGGGACTACCTCAGCCATGCCAGGCAACCCCATTACATTTCGTGGCTTTCCTTCCACAAACACGGGAGTTCCTGGGTCTTTCTTAAGGGACTGGCGACTAGGAGATGACCTGTCAAGGTGAAGAGTGTGAGGAGACACTTGAGTGTTGTGATGGGTGTGAATGTCTACCATTCGCATGTCGGTTACTCGGTGAGGCGAGGCAGGAGGCGTTTTGGAGCCCAGAGTTGGCAAGTGACTGTCTGGGTATTTCCTAGATTTTTGCCGGTACAATGATTGCTCCATAATTTCGGGCTGCATAGTAGGATTACAGTAAGTGCTTGAAGACCTCATGGTGCTACGATGGTAAGCAATGACATGGTCGGGAACGTCAAGAGGGTGTCCTGTATGCGAAGCTGCGATGCTCATCCTACCCTCGTGGTACAAGTATGGGTCAGCATAGAGTCCCTCATTTCGAAAAAGAGTTAGGTTTTTGCTACCCAGGTCCTCATCGGGTTTCACATCCCTCCTTTCCAAAATGGCACTAGGGCTTGGTGAGATGGGTCTGGATGCTGAGATGTTCGAAAGCCAGTCCCTAGGAATTGTTGCATTGCCAGGACCACTGACTGGCCTGACCGTGCCATAGGGGATCCTGGATGGAGAAGGGGGCATTGAATGGGGCACCGGAGTAGCAGGGGGAGAGGTCGGAAGCGCATGAGGAGGATGCGTAGTGGATCCTTGACGAGAAGCATTTGGAAAGGTGTCTCTCTGCATCTGCAATATAAAGAAACCCAATTAAGAGCCATGGTTCTGGGTTAGTTTAGTCATTACTCCAATGATACAGAAGTATTCTTTCCCTCAAATAATGCAGCTCCTGGACGACATTAGGGCCCTGTGGGACCTTTTGTAGTTCCACAGGGCCTGTAAAACGGAGCTCTTCCACCAGGCTTTCAAATAGGGTGCCACCTTTAACATCATAGCCCTGGCCCAAACACCAACATCATCACCAGCCTGATGACCAAAAGCCTGGCAGGAGCCTGGACCAAGGGGTAGGCGACCATTCAAATGCTGAGAGAATGTCGCCATCTTTTATTACATCTATGTTCTGAGTAGTTATGGTTTTGTATACTGTGATTTTAACTTAATTCTGTTCTTAGCATATTTTGGAGTTTTAATGTATACATTTATATGTATGATCTGTAAGCCGCCTTGTGCCTGCTACGACGGGGAGGGTGGGATAAAAGTCTAACAAATCTCTCCTCATATATAAAAGAGTTTTCGTGTCCCACTTTCCTCAACATTCCATACACTCCCACAGCCTTTGGCTCTCTCAGCTGCCACTCCGAAGGTCTGCCAATCCCCTGGCTGCATTCCCTCACTGCATTGCCTCAGCCCCGCCCATAGAGCTGGCAGCCAGCATCTTGCCCACAGTCTGGAGGGAGCTGGTGATGGGGATGGACACTCCGCTGAGAGAGCAGCAACCCCTCCATGAGTGAGAAGGAGGCAGACCTAGCAAGGCAACAAGCAGGGAAGCACTCACCTTTGCTGCCCCTCATGGCCCCTCTCCCTCAGCCGCAAGGCCGGCGCTTAGTCAAGGTGACAGCTCAGCGGGCTGCACCGCAAAGAAGGCTGCCCAGCGCCTTTCAAAGCGCCTTCAGCAGCGGCAGCGCCAGGGAGGGTCTGGCCTAGAGGAAACGAGCTGTGGCTCCTGGAAAGCCGGACTCTCTCCTGAGGAAGACACTTATCTTGGCTGCTGTGTGGGACTAACTGTAACTAACTGTCCCCTCAGTGGCTGTTGGTAGGCAACCAAGCTTACTTCTGTAAGTAAGAAAAACAAAGGACTTTCAGCATAAACCCCTCCCCCACCAACTGCCAGCTTGGCCACTTTCCTATCAGAATAAATTTAAAACGGCTCTCTCTCCTTTTTGGCTCCACCATGGCTGCTTGGCTAATGAGGTGGGCCAGTGACCATCAAACCATTCTCTTCAATCCCCTGCTGTGCAGCTGACTCCCCTAGGGGTGCCAATCTCTGCTGTTACAATTGATCTCCAGATGACAGAGATCAGTTCCCCTGGAAAAAATGGCTGCTTTGGAGGGAAGACCCTATGGCATTATCCCCTGTTGAGTCCTTCTACCCCCCCAATGCTGCCCTCCAAAGGATCCACCCCCCAAATCTCCAGGTATTTCCCCAATCAGAGCTGGCAACTGTTCTTTCTCCTCAGTGCCTATTGCTAGCAACCAGGTTCTGTCAGTAAAAGGCCCTTTCCACACCTATTTTAGCCTTTGGGAGAAAACTCATTGGGGCCAGTCCTGCTAGGGTTGTCAAATCCAGGTGGGAAATTCCTGGAGATTTGAGGGATGGAGCCTGGAAAGGGTGAGGTTTGAGGAGAGATGGGACCTCAGACAGGTACAATGCCATAGACTCTACCCTCCAAGCCAGCCATTCCTTCATGGGAACCATTGTCGCCAATCTTGAGGTGGGGGCTGGAGATCACTCAGAATTACAACTGCTCTCTAGGAGGGAGGGGGAGGAGATGGAAAGCTGAAGCCAGGGGCAGATAACAGTAGGTTGACAGTTGGCTGGGAGGGAGATAGGGTTGCCAACTCCAGGTTGGGAAATTCCTAGAGATTTGAGGGGTGCAGCCTGGAGAGGGTGAGGTTTGAGGAGGGGGGGTACCTTAGACAGGTACAATGCCATAGACTCCATCCTCCAAACCAGCCATTCCCTCATGGGGAACCATTGTTGCCAGTCTCCAGGGGGATGGATAGCGATCACGCAGAATTACAACTGCTCTTCAGATGGCAGAGATCAGTTCCCCTGGAGAAAATGGTGGACTCTGTCATTATACCCTGCTGAGGTTGCCACAGCAAATTGACGCTGAGTGCCCAAGGCCGGGGCACTCTCTCAGAGCCTCTTTCTAGAGCTCATTGTATTTATTTCCACAACAGGCCTTATTCCTAGTAAATAAATAAATGCAGCTTATTTAAGGAAGGCAAGAAAACTGACTCTTCGTTCCAGTAATTCAGATACTTTCCTGGATATCATCAGTACCTGTAATTTATTACAGTATGCTATTATCATTATCTGAATTATTTGTATCAATAGTCAATGGATATTACGTAACTATTTGGATATGTTCTACAAAGAGAAACGTTAACGTTAAGCAACTTCATGTACCCAGAACAGAGACATGGTAGAAGGCCTGTGGCTCAGTGGACGAGCCTCTGCTTTGTATGCATCCCCAGAATTTCCAGTTAAAATGGGCCAGGCAGTAGGAGATGTGAAAGATTGAGACCCTGATTCACTATAAGGCAGCTTCACATGTATGTATGTGTGGAAAGGGAGAGGAGCATCACACCATTTTACAGATGCAGAATTGACATGCAGAGAAGTACACTGCAAATACAAGAGTAAACTATAGATGACACAGAAGAATCCACATTTAGAACAAGGATCCATTTCTAATACATCAATTAAATGAGGATGACCTGCAATCTAGATGTTTTGAAAACCTATGGGCATGTCAGGCCACTGAACCCTCCCAAACAGAGGACATAATATCCAAAAGATACACACAAACACACATGCATGCAAATATCATAAGGGTTAAACTGGTAGGATATGTTTATTTAGTACTTTATATCCCAAGATTCTCCCAGGAAGCTGAAGGAACATGGGGCCCCCAGGTGGTCTCCCTCTGGGGTTCTGACCAGACCCAGACCTGTCTACCAAACTTGCTATATCATGTGCCTTCAGACCACAACCTGAGACCACTGATATATTTTGGGTTTGATCTACTAGTTTGGGGTCCACTCTATTGTGTTAATGTTTTGTATGTTATCTTAAATTAATTTTTAATGTTTTACCTATTGTATTTTATTGTTTTAATACTTGCTGCAGCCCACCCAGAGAGCTTTGGCTATGGACGGTATAGATAATAATAATAATAATAATAATAATAATAATAATAATAATAATAATAATAATAATAATAATAATGCTTTGTGGAGGATGGAAAGGGGAATTCAATTCAATTCACCACTCAGAACACAAACCTCAGACACATAGCATTTCACTGGGTAATTCTGGAATCAAATTCAAAACAGCCCACTTCCAATTCCTGCAAAAATTACATTAAGTTGAGCCCCCAAGAAATCCAGGTCACTTAAGGAGCGCTATGCGTGGGATTGAGGCTGCACTTTTTCCCAGTGTTGACTTTGACTGAGGGTGTTCCCCATTGTGTAGCAATCAAAGGGTAGTCTGCATGGCTACCAAAGCACTCTCTCCCTTCTCCACCCGCCAGTTTATTTTCATCATGATGACAATTCTCATGCCAAAGTATACAGATGGATGTAATCGGAACCATCAGTCTCCACAGGACTCTTCTTGTGACTCAAGGTCCAAGAGTGGGGTTGTGGCCTCAGGCACTGGAGGGGGCCAGGAACAGGAAAATGACTAGCAACAACAAAAATAATTAGAAAATAAGGTGTGTCAGGAAGCCCAAACTATCAAAAAGAAAGCAACATGTACATAGATCCATGACACACTGGTTTCCTAAGAAGTTTCTATGTGCTTAGCATATTTGTTTGCAAATACAAGTTAGTCCCTGCGAATTGTTTACGCTTTACATTCTCAAGCTTGCATTTAAAACATATTCGATGTATAACTAAAACACATCACTCGTGGATAGAGCTTTCTTAGCAAAATCCTAACATATACTTACTCCAAGGGATGCTTCACTCAAGATCATAATGCATCCTGCACAGAGTGATCACATTGTGATCATATGGGGACATTGCCCAGGAGTAATCCAATGGCTGCCACTTCTTGCTGGAAGAATTCAGTCTACTACAGTAACCTGACATGAACCCAAGCTTGCAACCATGTTGACATTGCAGAACACCCCTCCCCCCAATTCAGTCCCTTCATGCATCTGGTGAAGTAGGCTATGAAAACTACAAAACTGCTTAGTTGTTAAGGCTCTGCATGCCACTCTTTTTTGCTACAACAGAAAAACACTACACAATACCTCTTCTACAATTCACACAAGAGAAAATTCCTACACAGAGAATCCTTCTGGGTAGCAAAATAGCAAACAGAGATGGAAATCACCATGCTTGATAACTGCATGCCTGTATCATGAAGTGTGAACACACAGAGGGCATGCATGAGGCACATTTGGCAAATGTACAGTGCAGTCCATACACATGTGATCATAAACTATGATGAAGCCACACATCATCATCATCAATATAGCCATAAGAAATGGATGCCTTAGTGGCTGGTGCTAGGCAACTACAACAGTATTATTAAGCCTTTCTTTCTGTCAGGAAAAGGCACTGAGAAGGGGCTTTTTAAGGCACCTGATAGCATCCACTGGGTGACTTGCTACCATATGAGTTGTGTGACTCACCCAGGCCCAGCTGCTTGCTACTGTTCAAGAGCAGCCACCCCACAAAAGAAAACTGTGGTGGAGTTTCAGAGGAGGAGCTCAGAAATCCAGGTTTGAATCACCACTGTGCTATGGAAACTCACTGAGTGGACGTTATGTATTTTCAGCCTAACCTATCTCACAGGGTTGTTGTGAAGATAAAATGGAGGAGAGGAGGGTGCTATAAATGACTGTAAACTACTTTGAGCCCCTATTGTGGAAAAAGGCAGGATACAAATGAAGTGACTAAATAATAAATATAGCTGAAGATGGGGGGGGGCATATAAAATACCAGCTGATAGATAGCAAAGCAGGGAACAGGGAAAGGGGAGAAGACACGGG